GATAGATATGAACAGAATGAGATAGATAATGAACAGGCTCAAATAGATAGATAGATAGATAGATAGATAGATAGATAGATAGATAGATAGATAGATAGATATGAACAGAATGAGATAGATAATGAACAGGCTCAGATAGATAGATAGATAGATAGATAGATAGATAGATAGATAGATAGATAGACAGATGAACAGAATGAGATAGATAATGAACAGGCTCAGATAGATAGATAGATAGATAGATAGATAGATAGATAGATAGATAGATATGAACAGAATGAGATAGATAATGAACAGGCTCAGATAGATAGATAGATAGATAGATAGATAGATAGATATGAACAGAATGAGATAGATAATGAACAGGCTCAGATAGATAGATAGATAGATAGATAGATAGATAGATAGATAGATAGATATGAACAGAATGAGATAGATAATGAACAGGCTCAGATAGATAGATAGATAGATAGATAGATAGATAGATAGATAGATAGATATGAACAGAATGAGATAGATAATGAACAGGCTCAGATAGATAGATAGATAGATAGATAGATAGATAGATAGATAGATATGAACAGAATGAGATAGATAATGAACAGGATAGATAGATAGATAGATAGATAGATAGATAGATAGATAGATAGATATGAACAGAATGAGATAGATAATGAACAGGCTCAGATAGATAGATAGATAGATAGATAGATAGATAGATAGATAGATAGATATGAACAGAATGAGATAGATAATGAACAGGCTCAGATAGATAGATAGATAGATAGATAGATAGATAGATAGATAGATATGAACAGAATGAGATAGATAATGAACAGGCTCAGATAGATAGATAGATAGATAGATAGATAGATAGATAGATAGATATGAACAGAATGAGATAGATAATGAACAGGCTCAGATAGATAGATAGATAGATAGATAGATAGATAGATAGATAGATAGATATGAACAGAATGAGATAGATAATGAACAGGCTCAGATAGATAGATAGATAGATAGATAGATAGATAGATAGATAGATAGAATTATGAACAGATAGATAGATATGAACAGAATGAGATTTTTGAAAAAATCATCAACCGAACAATCAGGTTTTTAAAAAGTAATATTTGATATTTGGTAATTTAATTTGATTTTGGTGAGTCATTCCGAAAACGTTTTGTTTATCCAAACACACATGAATTGAAAGCGATAGAGGGACAGGTAACCATATGAAAAAAAAGTACGACACAGACATGTTGGGAGACCGTTACGGGATTGGTAGCAATGGATTACCATTTTACACTTGAAATGGCTAGATATAATCGTACATTCTATTCTAAAAAATTCCTTCTCCATTGTTGAACTCACTTCCGACTTCTTGCTTTCCAGTCAACTTTGATCTTCAACGATTTAAATGCAATATTAATCCGTTATTTCCTGTCTTCTTAATTCCTGTTCCTTTATTATTCTCTGTTCTTAATAATGTTTTCTTTTCATATTCTTAGGTACCCTTTGCGGTTGAGTAATTTTATTTACTTTTTTCGGGTGAAATAATTAAAAAAAGAAATGGAAACAATAGCCAGAATAAAAAATAACTATGACATAATGGAATCTTGATTCAGATACAATGCACGGCCAATTGTTATGTGTGGTTAATCCTCACTATACATGTCGAACTAAAGAATCATATGGAATTTGCTGGGAGAGTACCCTGTTATCGGCATGGAAATTGAAATCAACAGCCCGTGTTCAAATTCTATGACTGTTGCATTCACTTTCACACTAATGCTCTAATACAAGTCATACATTCATCACTTCACCGCCAACTAATAATTAATCAATAGCGTTAATTTTGATATATAGACTAGGTGGTCTAGGAACAAAGACTATCATTTCAAACCCGTAGAAGAGAAAGAAAGGGGAAATCACACCACTATTATCCCCCCACCCACCAAAAAAAAAAAAATAACTATTTAGAAATAATAAATCAGAGGAATATTTTAACAGCTACCAATATCCGGAATAAGTATGGCATTAAAAATAAATTATTAAAATAATAAATATGTCATTAAAAATAAAAAAATATGACATTAAAAATAATAAATACGGCATTAAAATAAATCATTAAAATAATAAATATGACATTGAAAATAATAAATATGACATTAAAAATGAATTATTACAATAATAAATATGACATTAAAAATAATTAATGTCATTAAAATAATAAATATGACATAAAAAATAAATTATTAAAATAATAAATATGGTATTAAAAATAATAAATATGACATTAAAAATAATAAATACGGCATTAAAATAAATTATTAAAATAAGAAATATTGCATTTTCAATAAATAATTAAAATAATAAATATCACATAGAAAAAATAATAAATATAGCATTAAAAATAAATTATTAAATTAATAAATATGGCATTAAAAATAATAAATATAGCATTAAAAATAAATTATTAAAATAATAAATATGGTATTAAAATAAAAAAGAAAGCTTCGTCTTCTGTTACAACACTTTACAAACGAGGCATGGTTAGATTATATTTTATCCTTATCTAAGAATTAAAAAAATAAAATTTACCATCTATGTTTACAAACAGAATGGAGCCAAGACGAGCTGCAGAACTAGGGGGTGACGAAGTACTCGCTGGCAAATACAGGAATAATGTTGGACAGTGGGGTCGTGTCCAATTTAGTCCCGATTACTGCCTAGTCCTGCTGCCTTATGTTGCCTGAAAGTACCGGACGTTGTTTTAAAGTGGCCGGTCCATAGTTAGGTAAGCATGAAATTGAGTTTTATCGCCAGAGCCAGGGGCACTGAGCCGGCAATTCACCTGAGAGTCGTAAGGCTGATCAAATCGCACATAATTATTTCAATCTTTTCGTAACTTTTGGCCATTGTTTCTTCGTGACCTTGTCTTCTGCCATTTCAACCAAGACACTTTTATAGTTTTCTTTTGCATAAGACGAAATTTCTGCGCGGATTGTAATTCCCATCCGTTTTACAACCCATACATCTTCTTCTACATGAAATGCCAATTCAGGACGTTGACGAACATGGCTCGCAATTATTTTCTTATCTTTTGTAGTTCTTACTAACTTTTGGCTTTTTGCTATCACTCCTAAACCCTGTTTTGCCATCCATTTACACAAGTTCTTTAAGTAGGTTCAACGTTCCTTCCGTTGTACCTTCTGCTTTCAAAATATCCCGTGAGTGTCAAATTTTCCGAGCCTTTTTTACGGGCACTAAAATTCCAGCTGAATTTTTCTGATGTTAAGTATATGTCTTTTTTCTGTACATCTCTAAAACTTCGTCATTGCTCAAATGATCAGTCCACGGTATTCTCATCAAATTACTGCATTACCATATTTCTGTTGTCTCACGTCTTTTCCTCATCCGTGAGGAGATTGTGCAGCCATATTGAAGCACCGATATTAAATAACAATTCAGTACTTTTTTCTTTGTTTCTAACAAAATTCCATTCTTTCTTAATATTTTGCTTAGCTTTTTATTTCGATGTTGCTCTTTCCGTTCTCTGCTAATACGCTACACAAATATTTAAAATATTGTACTAGCTTGATTTTGTCATTTCCAATGTGTAATTTGCATGTTGAACTGTTCCGTTTGTTGACAACCAAACGTTCCTGCAAATGAAGTTTCGTCTTTTATTCTAGCTTTCGTTCACTACTTTCTGTTGGCGATGTTTTAGTTTCCTTTCTGTATCTGTTATCAACAATGTGTCGTATTTTGCTAGAATTGTGACTGCCAACAATGGATCCTTGCGGCATTTCTAATTCTCTCCAAATCGCCTCATTGTCTTACATTCCTCTCTAATTTTCTATGTTTACTGAATTTATTTCCCCTCCGTGTGCAGGCAGATTGCTTCCAGTATAAGTTCTGGATTCTAATATAATATGGCAAAGTTACCTAGCAGTCCTAACAGTTATCTGTGACAAACTTTATCGAACTTTTTTGCATAATCTATAAAACATGTGTATATATATGTTAAAACATGTGTATACATATATTGAACTTTTTGATATTCTGAGAAGAAATATGCCATTTCGTGGTCCTTTTTCTTTGAGGAAACCACATGGATCAAAAAAAGAATTGCTGGTATATTAAATAGAAAAATATATTAATAAACTTATTAAGCTTTTTTATCAACATATATATATATATATATATATATATATATATATATATATATATAATGGTCTCTCCTGTCGGTTTCGACGTATGAGGATCTGACAATTTAACCAATTGAATCAGTTATGAAATTTTGTGCGATAATCTTAAGTGGAATTTAAGACCCGCTAGTGATTTACAAAGGAGGCTGCATATCGAGCAAGAGTGATGGTTGTAGGATGAGATCACTGTTAGATCGGCTGACCTTTTAGATCTTGCTCTCGCTTCTTGAAGACGATTCAGACTAGCAGATTGAAAACTGCTGAATTCACTAAAACACGTTGATCTCCATTCTAACCTGCTCCACGGCTAAGCGCTCGCGGGTGTTATGAGGTATATTGGCAGCTGAGAAGTTGTCTTTGTATCTTAGCCGTAGGCGTCCTACATTCCTGTGGCTCTGATTTAACTGTTTGTACATTAGGATTTTCGGTATCCTGTTATCAGACATTATCAAGACATGTAACGGAGTCTGTGTGAGAAAAGTCTCGATTCCTCCAATATTACACATACAGATATACATTAGATGTCCTATCTTGAAGGTTAACTCCACAGATGGCACGCAGACAGCTTTTATGGAAAACATTCAGCCTGCGTATGTGTTACCTGTATGGAGTCCACGACTCTGAGCCCAACAGCTATATAAACACGAATGTTCGTACCCAGTCGAATATCCCCGTTCATTCCGCATATACTATACTATACAGTGTGAGTTAAAATTATGTTAAAATTAGAGGAATAATTTATTTAGAGCTTATTGAACAGTCTCCACCTGTCCACCAGCACGATCGATGCACAAAACCCAGCGATCAACAGTACAATTTAGTGCCTTGAAACACCTTTCACAGGGAATGTATGATATTACACCTTTTATTCTGTCCTTGAATTCTTCGATGTTTTTAACTTTTTGCTATAGACGTGATCCTTTATCCTACCGCATAACTAGAAGTAACGGGGTGTAATTGGCCCATATTTCTTTACAACACCAACAGTGACTACAAATGCTTACTTACAGATGCTGCAAGAGTTTGCCATTGATAACGTACCCATACAAATCAGAGGAGTAGGTTATTTCCAACAGGATGGTATACCGCCTCATTTTGTCCGTACTGTTCGCGCTTATCTTCATCAAAGTTTCTCAAATCGTTGGTTAGGTCGCGTCGGACCGTTGGCATGGCCACTATAATCCTGTGAGTTGACACCGTAAGATTTCTGGTTATAGGGCTGAACTTTTATCGTTGAATTTTTAAAAAGTAAGCTTAAATATTAGTGCAATACTTAAAGGTAGGGATGAAATTTAAGTTCTTCTGTAGGTTATTGTTACCTATAAATTGTGATGAAGGCCCAATCAAGGGCTCTCCGAAGAAGCTAGTTTAAATGCCACCCGATATATAAGTGTGTGTGTATGTGTGTATATATATGTATTTAATTTATGTGTGTATATATATATCTTCTGTACACACACACACACACACACATATATATATATATATGAAGAAATATAGTCTTCAGATGTGCTATATTTATGGGATAAAGTGCTCAGTATCAGAGATAGGACGTGTGTAAATATAAAAGTGAACTAGAAGTCAACACTTAGAGGCGACAGTCTGCCACATGCTAGACGTCTCAGGCCACGTTTGCGTCTAGCATGAAACAGACCGTCGCTCTAAGTGTTAACTTTATGTTCACTATTTTATATATATATATATATATATATATATATATATATATATATATATATATATATAAACACTTCATCCAAGAAAGGCAGTAAACCTGTTTAGAAGCAATTGGTTACTGAGTGACAGATACTATAAGAAAAAATAATACTATTAAAGAGAGAACAATAAAAGGAATATGGTGAACAGAAACACTGTTAAGGGGAGAGAACAATAAAACAGAAATTAAGAAGATAGACGACAATGAATGATATTGAATTTAAATTTTTGAAGATCAAAGGTGACAAGAATGCTAGAAGCCAGGAGAGAATTCCACAAGTGTGTAGGGCTGTAGAAAAAACTTTTATCAGAGAGCGTACAGATACATCTAGGCATTTCAACTATAAAAGGATAAGGCCTTGCCACCAATCTAGTCTTTCTTTTTATGTGCTATTTCCTTTCAAGACGTAGGCGATCATAACTCTCCACCTATCTTTATCCCTTGTAGGTCTCAACAAGTTCCTTTCATCTGCTTCCTCCCCCAGACGACGTTCTGTCACCCAGTTGCTTAAAGCATAGTTACCGCTGAGGAAAGTTTATCTGAACAGTTACAATGAAAATATTTTTAGAAAAGTCACAGGTAAGATACGTTAGTGCGGTATGAAAATATCTGAAACCGTGGTGCCAAGTCAGGACGAATAGTATTGCATCTTCTTTGAATTTTATCAAGAATCTATAAATATATAACAAGAGAAGCAAACCATATGCGGCAGCAATAATATATATATATATATATATATATATATATATATATATGTATGTATATATATATATGTTTGTGTGTATATGTGTAGATAGATAGATAGATATTGCTACCACAAATATATATATATATATATATATATATATATATATATATATATAGATAGATAGATAGATAGATAGATATTTCAGGAGTTTGACGTAACGACTTATTGTGGACTGTCAATGCCTTGGGCTTACACGGTTTTCAATGAGATGCGAATGAGCGAGCATGTTAATTTGCCTTATCTCATTCCTCCAAACCGTCAGTCCACGCGCTGATCACCAAAATCAGTCCGTCACATTTCAAGTACAGATTTGGCGATATGTGACTTCAAAAATCGCCTTTGAAAAGAAAGATATTTCAGAATGTGAAACTGTTTAAGGGAGAAGATGGCTCTACAACTGTTATCCATATCGAGAAAAAACGAACCCTGGAAAGACGCTAGAATACATGCGTGAAGTAATAAAGAGGACATTTTGAAGTGAAGTGAAATAAGACGCCATTACCCTAGGAAGGCTACTCATGTTCGCTCATATTAAATGATTGGATATTTTCCGAATAGAAAAGTTTATTTTGTATCAAAAACCTAATTCTGTATTTTTTTAAAAACTAACAGTAAATGAATGACTATAAAACAGATATGGAAACCAAGGCTACACTTGTACCAATGTAATAAAAAGAAATTGAATACATTGAATCCTTGGCGGTTTAGTAAACTTTAATTTCAAGCTTAGGGTCTGCGAAGTAAATCAATAATATCACTCTCTTCCTTGAATTAGTTAAAAGAAAACTGTTATTATTTTTTATTGATATTATGAATAGTTTTCATAAATAAAAAAATTTGGTAAAATATCAATTCCAATAATGCAAAATGCCAGATTGCTTGGGGGCTAAAATCTCATTCTGAAAGATTTCCTGAATTATATGAAGCAAATATTCGCTACAATTTTAATACACTGAAGCGAATTACAGCAGTGTGGATCCCCATAGCTGAAAAAAAAAACGTTCATAATAAGTAAAAAGACTGATTCTTCGCTGCAGGCTTTCAGAAGAACGATAGAATTTTTTCGTTTTGATTACTTTTTGTTTTCTTTCTTTAGTTGTAATTTTTCTTTTTTTCTTTCTGGCTCGATTCATTCAATTTCTCTCCCATTCGTTTTTCGGTTCTCCGTTTTTCCTAATTTTGGGTTTTCATTACGTCTTTCTTATTTCCTAGCAGCTGAAGGACGTCAGTACTTTCTCACGGGTGCCAATAGTCGATATTTGCGCCAAAGCAAAAGTGCGGATGTAAAATTAAAAATAAAAGAAGAAAATATAAAGAAAGTCTGTCTCTCCTTGGAAGATTGCTGTCACCCATCTTGTCTTTTTTTTTTGTCTATTTAGCTCCTTGTTTCCAGGTACTCGATTAAACTCAACTTAGGTAAATTCTCTCTTCGTGTAGTGCCGTGAGGGACATTTTCAAACGCACGCCTCATAATTGTGTCAAATGTAAAATTTCAAATATATATGGGGATGGCGATAAGTTCCATCCGGAAGCAAGGCCCCTAATTTGGAGATTGGACATTTTGAGGAGCTTGGAACCACCTCTTAATTTTTGTTGTTACCTGTTAGCATAGCCCGAGGTTGTAGCACCTGTTAGGGCCCCAACTTTGGGTCCCCTCAAACAATATACTATAAAATATAAAGATACACTTTTATAGTAAAAAAATACCATCAATAAATTTTTATATAAAAACATCACCAGCAATACGTTTTTATCTAAAAACATTACCAGCATTTGGTTGGATAGATGTGAGTTTGTGACCCTGGGTTTCACGCTTTAGCGATCGACAGACAAATAATAAGTACCGCGCATATAATATATAAATAATTATACATATATATATTTATTTATATTTATATACACTTTTCACACACACACACACACACACACACACACACACACACACACACACACACACACACATATATATATATATATATATATATATATATATATATATATATATATACGGTAATAGTAATGTTAATATTAGCCGTTTCCTCTTAAAGAAACTTTCGTCATTCATAGGCCGAGAAGCCAGCCGTCGTGGGTATAAAGATAAACTACATCCGTGTCCTGGGTAAGACGATAATCTACGTCCAACAACAAGAGGTTTTGAGGAGCGTGGAACCACCTCCTAATTGCTGGTATTTCGAGGTCCATGCTGACCCGGGATGTAACTCATTTTTGGGTCCCACCTATGAGAAAAAGTTGACCCCCAATCTGGGGTTAAAACACTATGAAAGTGTAAAAATAGCTTTTAATTCCAGAAACACTTTGTAAAAAAATATTACCAGCAATCAATTTTTAAGAAAAAATATTACCAGCTATATATATTTGAAAAATAAAACACCAACTCAACATTTTTGAAAAAAAATATGTTACCATCAATAAAAATCTTTTTAGTATTAAAAAATCCACTGAGGTTGATATACCGTCAAACAAACACCAGCAAACCGTTAAGCCAGAGTTACTTTCAGTCGAAATTTATGAAATCTTTCTATTAACGCAATTTCTCGAGAAAATAGGTTTCTCAAGTCCGGTAACTCTGAATGCTCTGTCCAGTATAGAGTGGAATTTCCTTCTTAACCTTTTGTTCGAAGTCGTGTTGAAAGTCAACAAATTAACTATTTCCTAATTTTCTTTGCGAGTTATATATGTCATCAGGGTTAGTTGTTACCGTTGTTGAAAGTCATCCGTTGATGTCGTTTCTTTTATTTGGTACACTTCTTTGTTTGAGATTGTGCATCGCCAGATTCAAAGAAGGATGTTCCTCGCTTCGATTTAGAGGCTTCATTCGCTTGAAGCCATTATTATTTATCGACCTGAGAAAGAGGCGCGGGATGCAGCTTACAGTTTAGATATTTCTGTACGAGTTTGACGCCTTCATGCCATCCATAAGAAAATCTCGATTTAACTAAGCTATTCAAGAATATGACTCGAGTCTTTGCGTTAATATTTGGGTTTTGGTAGAAACTTGCGAAACCACACTATTTTTTCGAATTTAAATGTCTATAAGTATTATGAATTTCTATCTGGCATCAGAGTGTAGAATACTTTCGATCTGGGACGCTTCTACGCTGGAATCATTTTATCCTTTCTGACAGAGAACGCTGTTGTTATATAGATAAATATCTGATAGAAAACAACTAAATCTGGTAGATTGCCACGAAGGTGAATAAAATTGGGAATGTCGTATTTTGTCTATATTTTGTATGGGATAAAGTATAATTAAAAATGGAGGCCTTTTTTTTCTGGATTCGAACCCCGAACAGCGGTATTTGTAAAAAGTACGCTACTAGTTTCCCAATCAGAAGTCTGGTAAACATTTTCCTTATCGCTTCACAATTATTTTTTTTTATTCTTTCTTTCTTTCTTTCTTTCTTTCTTTCTTTCTTTCTTTCTTTCTTTCTTTTGTTACATCATTGAAATATGCTTTCGTTTTTGTAAGTTTCTGTTTTTTTTATGAATCCATTTATCATTCTTTCTTTCTTTCTTTCTTTCTTTCTTTCTTTCTTTCTTTCTTTCTTTCTTTCTTTGATATTTTTCTTACGCCATTTTTTTTTTTCATTGCCTTTTTCTTTCTCCTGCTACTACCGCTTTTGGTTTCTCCATCTTTTTTTATCATTCGTTCCGACTTTCCTTTGTTGCATCTTTAAAACGTACTTTTTATGTTTATTATTAGCTTTTTTATTTCTTTCTTCCTTTTTTCATTCATTATTTATCCTTTTTTTTTCTTAGAATCTGTATTTCATTAAATCTTAGCGTCTTTTCATTTGTCCGATATTTTTCAGTAAGTTTTCCTCCCCTCTTTCTTTCATTCATTCTTTCTTTCATTTTTCTTTCTGTTATGTTTTCTCTCTTCATGGCTCTTTTCATCTCTCCATTCCCCTTTTCTCTCTTCCTTTCTTTCTTTCTTTTCCTTTCTTTCTTTCTTTTCCTTTCTTTCTTTCTTTCTTTTTTTTTTTCTTTCTGTTACAAATTTCTTGGAAAACATTCTTGATATTTTATATTTTTCATTTATGTTTCGTTCACATCGATTATTGAATCGTTATTTTTTCCTTTGCTTTACTCCATTCCGTTTCTCAAACATTTCAAAAGATCTCCGCGTCTTCTCTTCGTACGAAATGGCATATTTAGTCCCAACTTAGAAACGATCACAATTTCTTTTCATTCCGAACAGTTTTCTGCTCTGATACTTTAAAACCTAACTTCATTCATTCATTCAACTAATGAACAATATCCTTCTTTCTATATCGTTATTTTCCGTCAGCTTTTCAAATTCATTTTTATTGAAATGCGGCCATATTTTTTTTAATTCTTTTTAAACATTAATTCGTTCATGCGTGCTTTTTGTTTTACATTTTCCATAATTCTTCAAAATTATATTCTTATGCATTTATTTACTATGATATGTATTATTTTGAGGACATAGAGGAAGCAAAGATATAAGGCACAATTATGAAGGGAATTTTATTTCTTTAACGCTAAATTCATTTTTACTTACTTTCTTTCTCTTTCTCTCTCTCTCTTTCTCTCTGTATTTCTTCCTCTTTCACTATGTCAGATGCACCCTTTTTCTGCGTGGGATTGTACAGGGAAATGTCGATAATATTTTCAAAATTGATATCTTGTTAAAACGTAAAAATTGGCGAAATTGCCGAATTCCAGGGTTTCGCCATCCGTGTACGGGTAGACAAATAATGATAAAGCGAATTGCATTCGCATCACTAAGGCAACATGCATAAGAGATCTTCCTTTTGTCGCTTAAGTAGAGAAAAAAAATGATAAGATTCGATAAAGGGATATAAAAAAAAACGGACAGGAAACTTAAATGGTGTGCCTAAAATAAACTTATATGCACAGATATATATGTGTGTGAAACTCGTGCGTTTATGTGTATAAGTGTAGAAATCTACAAGACATATAATCTGTCTTAAAGAAAATATGCACATATATAAATATTTTGAAAAGAATACAGTTCTCATCTCCCACTGACTCCTTTTTTATCTCTCTCTCTCTCACTCTCTCTCTTATATATATATATATATATATATATATATATATATATATATATATATATATATATATATATATATATATACTTACATTTATGGTCTTATTAGCTAGACGTAGGTACAAAAGTTTATCTATGAAACTATATATATATATATATATATATATATATATATATATATATATATATTATATATATATATATATATATATATATATATATATATATATATATATATATATACTTATGGTCTTATTATAGATTTAAATCTATGAAAAATATATATATATATATATATATATATATTGCATGCAAATATACAAATATATATATATATATATATATATATATATATATATATATATATATATATTAAATGAATACATTTAAATCGTAAAATTATATATCGTAAATATATTTATGCAAATATACAAATATACAAACGCACATATATAAATACGTATATATTAAATCAAAGAATATATATATATATGTGTGTGTGTGTGCGTGAAATAACTACGTCCAGATATTGATATATATATATATATATATATATATATATATATATATATATATATATATATATATGTACGCCTGTGTATGTGTGTATAGACGCGTATGTATATATTATCAGTTTCGCAAAGTCACACATACGTTCACGTGATTGTGTACCAAACTCTCTATCTATTTCATTCTCTCTCTCTCTCTCTCTCTCTCTCACACACACACACACACACACAGTATATATAACTTTTCTTTTACTTAAGCTTTATCCCTGATTCTGAGGACATTTACCCATAAATATAGCATATCTTAAAGCTATATATATATTTAGGAAATCATTTGGCCTATACTACCTTGAGATACTGAAAGGTTGAAAAAAAGGTAGTGAGATTAGCTGGTATCCTAATTTATTTTTTTAAGTTAAAATCTCTCAACGTTAAATATTTATTTTTAATTTTCTTTATATGTCCATTGCGCAATTTTTAATACAATATTTCCAGGTCTAATTTAGCTCTAACCAATAACAGTTGTATAATACATACATACATACATACATATATATATATATATATATATATATATATATATATATATATATATGCCTGGTTAGCAAAGTCAAATATAATATATATAAACAGAAATATATATTAAAATATCGAACTTATTCTATTTAATAATATATGATTTCATGTGTTTATTGTTGAGTTGCTCTTCGAGCAGATATGTGCATTCGCGTGAAATCATAGAAAATTTGTTGTTTAAACACGCACGCACACTCACACACACACACACACACACACACACATATATATATATATATATATATATATATATAATATATATAACCTATCTTACTTTCTGTTGTGACCAAGTAAATGGTTAAAGAAATAACAAAACAAGTGTTACAGATATATTAGACAGAAAAGTATTACACGAGTAGTGAGTGTGTCGGATGATCCAGCGATCAATTTATTCGACTGTTAATATTAAACAACCCCACACGAGGGATGTATGTGGCACAAGGCCGAGTTTAACGTGGGTTCTCCGGGCCCGTGCGCTCGGCCAAAAATATTACCTTAGAACCCATATAAAGAGGTCCCAGCCTGTCGACCTCCACGGACGAAATAAAATATTCGCTCAGAACCCGCATAAACGGGTTAAGAGACTGTCTACTTCCCCGGACGAAACTTTGCCCTTCGGCAAGGTCTCGTCCGGGTTCCTCTTTGCCAAAGACAGAGAGTTCGACAGCATACTCCGAACAGAGCTGTTCCTCAAGGCCTTCTCTCTTATTAATTTTATAGTAGGTGGAAGAGTCCAACATAGACTCTTTAGAGGGAGGACACCACAGCATTTTCTTTCATATTTTCTTTTCTGCAGTTGTCGGCTTCATTGCATTAAACGTTCTTACAATATCTTTTTTTTCCTCCTTTTTGTCTTTTTAAAAAGCAATATGGATGTGTTTTTATGTGCGTTCATTGCAATTTTAAGTTTTTTCTATTTGTGTCTATTTTTCCCGTACGATTGACGATGTTAACCAACGACGAACCTAATCCGTAACAAGATGGGTGACCGCTTGGGGATGCCAAGTGCTATAAACTTCGATATGTGGGCAGTGCAATGGATAACGGCTCGTAAGTGGATAATTGGATAGTCGAGTTTCATTTCCCATTGGCTTCGTTATATTCATTTACTCGCAAATACCCTTCGGAATGGTATAACTGCACTTCCTGTCCCCCCAAATATGGGCTAAATAGTGAGAGTTGTGTCACTTAATTATTATTATCTCAGTAAGGAAATTCTTACAATCTAAAAGTATTTCCTGATCTTAACCTGCAATGGATTGCTTCAAACGAGGACACATGGCCCAGTGGAGAAGAGCGTTGATTGAAGTAATCCAAAAGCGATTTGACCCAGAGTTGTGAGTTCAATACCAGGCCACAGCAGAGTTGAACAAAAAATCTTCGAGAGTTGAGTTACTAAAGGGAATTAATTGAAAATTGAGATATCCGGAAAAGGCATGGCACGTGGGACTAGAACATTCTACCCTCGTAGACTAAACGAAATTCCAACGTATATCATCTGAAGAAGGCCGGAGCGTACAACGGACGAAATGTCGTGAATATGACAATAAAGATGAGGACAACAGTCCAAATAATGTAAATAGTGTAAATAATACAAATAGCTATGGAATATCATTATTATTTCACTCGTAACGAAAGAAGTGTCGAAAAAGAATTCTGTTGTCATTTGCGTCTGTATAAAACACAATCGAGTCTTGAGAAAAGAAAACATCTTCGGGAACAGGTATAACCTATATAAAAGAGGAGCTAAAACACACACAAAAAGAAAAATCAGAAAGAAATACACGTCGGGAATTGATTTCGTGATGTAAACAGCGTTCTATCCTCTACTGAATGAAAAATCAAAACAAGATATCGAAAACGTCGTGAATTCGTGAAGTAACCTGCTTTATACCCGCCGCTGTTATAAAGACAAAAGAAAAACATATATCATGCTTATTTGGTTCATTTGTCAAGAGATACATTTTATTTTTCAATAGAGACCCCCTTACTTTCGAAAATATGAAATCTCCGGTGATGAAGAGAAAGGATACACATAGATTTCCATGTATCGCTTTCAATAGGTAGACGTGGAAAAATACCACGTCACTCAGATCTCTCATTTCCTAAATTTCGTGTAGTACACATTTGGCTATCTATAACTTTCCCAAATCTTTAAAGAGCAAATAGATTTGAGACCGTGAAAGAGATTAGACAGTTGATGGGGATAAAATATTTTTCCTAGTGTATTAAAAATAGAAGTTACGATATAATTGTAAGTTCCCGAGGTGGGTACTATTTAAACGTATCAAAACACAATTGCCCTAGGTAGGCTATTTTTCTCGTTAATATTAAATGGCTTGGTATTTTCCAGACAAAATTCGGATTTGGGTCCTTAATCGAATGCGTAGAAAGCAGCCCATCAAGGGTAATTCTTTTATAAATGACCCAAACCACCTTTATTATACTCATTTGTGAAGTTTGATTGGATAAATTAAAACTGTTCGACAAATTCAACACTTTTGGTCAAGAATTCACCCAAAACCTGTCCAGTCTTAATGTATGTGTTCGACAATCAGTTTTTAAAAAAAAAACTTTTTATTCTTTTAACTATTAATAAGTTCATCTCATTTTATGATTTTTATTTCTTTATTTTATCTGTAAAATGTTGTCTTACGCCAGCTTTGTGGCAAATATATATATATATATATATATATATTTATATATGTATATATATATATATATATATATACACTTCCGCCATATGCGAACATCTTTTAAATAGCAGAGATTGTGCCGCCAAATTTAGTGCTGACTGGTTCACCGTGTTGGCCCGGTCACACTCTGTATTTCACCTGAAGGTTCTGGAGGCACTTTACATCGGGTCCTGCAAGCCTTCTTTGTGCAAACAACGTGAGTGTT